TGAAAATGGCAACGTTATGGTTACGGTGCGAGATAGACCCCAATACAAAGAGGAGTGGTACTTGGATTCGAGTTTTTCAACGCATATGACGGGTAGGAAGGAATGTTTTATTCAAATCAATCAAGCTGCGAAAAGTAGAGTAAAATCTGTGGATGATACCACTGTTGCGCCGAAGGTACCGGTGATGTTTTGATCAAAAAGAAGAACGGTGGAAATTCTATGATCAAATATGTCTTGTACATTATAGGAATTACATGTAACCTCTTGAGTATTGGCCAATTGCTTGAGAGGGGTTACAAAATTTGCATGGAAGACAAGGTTTTGCGCGTTGTGGATGCAAACGGTGTTTTGACCCTTAAGGCTCCTATGGCTGCCAATAGAACTTGCAAGGTAGAGCTGAAAGTTATGGAGAATAGGTGTTTAGCTATAGTGGCAAGTAGAGAATAGTGGTTATGGCACTACCATCTTGGGCATCTCAATTTTTGAGATCTTAAAATGTTGTAACAAAACGGTATGGTTAGTGGCCTGCCACACATCAACATTCCATTTGAGTTGTGTGAAGAATGTGTGAAATAAAAGCAACACAAGGCTAGTTTTAGAAAGGATTCGGGTCATAGGACCAAGACTCACCTTGTGGTGGTGTATTCCGATGTATGTGGGTCGATGCAAGTTGACATGTTAGATGGCATAGATACTTTGTCACTTTTATCGATGATTTTAGTATAAAGTTATTGACTTACCTTATCAAGAGGATAGATGAGGTGCTTGATATGTTCAAGAATTTTAAGTCTATGGTGGAGCGGCAATGTGGTCAAAAACTCAAAGTGGTCAAAACGGACGATGGAGGTGAATATGTCTCGAACGACTTTGGGAAGTTTTGTGACCAATAGGGGATAGTGCATGAGGTGATGCTACCCTATACACCACAAAAAAATGGTGTTGCTGAGAGAAAAAATCAATCGATAATGAACATGGTTCAAAGCATGTTGAGTGGAAAGAACTTGTCGAAGGAGTTATGGGGAGAAGCAGTTTCTACAGCCACTTATTTGTTGAATAGTTGCCCTACTAAGAAGCTTGAGAAGCTGACACCATAAGAGGTATGGTCCAGATTCAAATCGAATCTAAGCCATTTGAGAGTTTTTAATTCGATGGCGTATCACCATGTGTCGGGTCAACTTAGAAAGAAGTTGAACGACAAGGGTGAGGAAATGGTATTTGTTAGATATCATTCTATTGGTGGATATAACTTGTTTGGTGCATGGAATAAGAAAATAATGATCAGCCGCGATGTAATTTTTGATGAAATAAGACCTGCAGGCCCCAGTGTAATCAGTTACATTCAATTAGTTTATCCTGGTGTAACCAAATACATGTAGGAAAAACAGCCTCCCAAGTTTGTTTTTTCTGATCCAGTCAATTCTAAAACAGCCGCACAGCCACCGATCGAGGATCTAAATGAAGAGAATGTTAGACGATCAATAAGGAAAAGGGTGTTACCTCAAAGAATCTAAGAATGTGATAGATTTTGAGACAACAAAATCAATGATGATGGTGATTTCGTCCACTTTGCGCTTATGGCCAAATCCAAACTAGTGAACACGGAAGAGGCTCTAAGCGGTCCAAAATGGATTTGTGCAATGAAGAAGGAGTTGGAATCTATTAGAAAAAAATGATACTTGGGAGTTGGTTGATTTATCGCTTGAAAAGAAGCCAATTAGTGTCCGATGGGTCTAAAAAGTGAAGGCAAATCCCAAAGGCGAGGTGATTAAGCATAAGCCTCGATTGGTAGCAAAGGGATTTTTGCAATGTGAAAGTATAGACTTTGAGGAGGTGTTTGCACTTGTGGATAGACTAAAAACCATCTGATTAGTTTTTGGAATTGTGAATAACAACGATTGGGAGATATATCAAATGGACGTCAAATCTGCATTTTTGAATGGTCCACTTGATGAGGAAGTTTATGTTGAGCAGCCACCCAGATTTGTAGTGAAGAATCAAGAATTGAAGTTCTACAAATTGCATAAAGTATTATATGGTTTGAAACAAGCTCCAATAGCTTGGAACAAACACATTAATGGCTTCCTAGTTGATATTGGTTTCAAGCGGTGTGTGTCCGAACATGGAGTGTATGTGAAAACGGATGCGAATGATGGCGCAATCATTCTTTGCTTGTATATTGATGATCTATTGATTACTGACAGTTGTGAGAAGAGTATTTCCATGTTCAATAGTGAACTTATGGATGAATTTGAGATGACAGACCTTGTTATCATGACATCCTTGGCATAGAGTTTCATAAGTCAAAAAAGAGACTGCTCATGCACCAAAGGAGATATGCTCTTGAGATTTTGAAGATGTGTGAAATGGAGCATTGTAATGTGGTCATTACACCATGTGAAGTAAGGTTGCAGTTGTCTAAGAGTGAGGATGAGCAAGATGTGGATCCAATGCAATATAGGAGATTGATTGGATCATTACGGAATTTGTGCAATACGCAAACGAACTTGGCATTTAGTGTCGGTATTGCTAGTAGATTCATGGAGAGACCAAAGGTGTCTCACTTGGTAGCGGTCAAGAGAACCCTTAGATACATTAAAGGAACTCTTGGCTGCGGAATTTTCTTTCCTGCAATGAATACGGGCCGAAAATGTGATTTATTTGGTTTCACTGATTCCAATTGGTATGGAGATAAGGATGATAGAAAGTCGACGGCTGGATACATCTTTATGTTTGGTAGGACACCAATCTCTTGGTGTTCGAAGAAGGAACCGGTGGTAGCACTCTCGTCTTGTGAGGCCGAGTATATTACAGCATCGTTATGTGCGTGTCAAGCTATGTGGCTCATGAATCTATTGAAGGAGTTAGATAGCAATGAGGGTGAGACTACCACACTTCTTGTTGATAATATTTCTGCGATAAACCTTGTGAAGAATCTGATTGCACACGGAAGAAGCAAGCATATAGAGATGCAGTTTCATTATTTGAGAGAGTTAGTGAGTGAAGGCAATTTAAGGTTGGGATATTATCGAAACGAAGACAAAGTAGAGAATTTGTTGACTAAGGAAGTACCAAATGAAGTGTTCAAGAGTTTGAAGATGAGCTTGAGCATGGTGGACTTGAACCAACTGAGATGAGGTGGTGTGTTAGAAAATAATTTTTCTGCCATTTAAGTTGGTGTAACCGGTTACTGGGTATGTGATAACCGGTTACTCCAAATTCACGTAGAGTCAGTAGCTTGGAGGTTTTGTGGTAACTGGTTACCACAAATATGATAACCGGTTAAACTCGGCATTTTTTGTGTTTTTAGCTTATTTTTAAGTTGTTTTGTATTTTTCCAATTATTTGTATATATGTTGTATAAATAGTCTTTTGTGCTCCCATCTGTAGTTAATGACAATTATAAATTCTCACCCTCAATATCTCTCTCTTTATTATTTCTCTCTCAATTTTAATTCTCTAAATTCTAATTTTCACTATTGTTAACCCAATCGAGTTGTTCTTTGTTACAACACGTATTAAGCACGGGGAAGAAGTAGATAGGAAGTCGATATAATTTATTTTATAATTATATGGTAACACTTTTGCATTATATATATATATATATATATATATATATATATATATATATATATATATATATATATATATATATATATATATATATATATATATATATATATATGTTTTATCAGCTTAACTTTGTTAAAAAAAATTGAAAAAAGATGTTTTTCAAAATTTTCATTACTACCTATCGGGCTTTTCAAAATTTATGAAATTTTCGGTTCATATCGGATTTTTCAAAAAAATCTGATAGGTTTATTTTGTTTCTAATTTTTTTCAAATATCTGGTAACTAGATTTTCAAAAGATAGAAAGTTATTAAAAAAAATCCCAGAAAACTTTAATTTTTTTACTGGCAATTTTGCAAATGTCAGGCATTTATGCATACTTTTGCAAAATATTCGATAATTTTTTAATAAATCCGATAACTCTACTTCCAAATAGTAAAACATCGAGTAACGTCATGAAAATTTTGGAATTTAACAAAAAAATTTAAAAATATGATAAAGCGAAATCACGATCCCTTTAAAAAATGTCAGGTACAACTTAGAGGTGTCAAGAAGATTCCTCTTATTTGTCTATGTCTATCTATGATAGTTGGTCAAAATTGAAGCCCGGAATGAGTAAAAGAGAAATCAAAAAGTCCAGTTGACTTAATAGCTTTTATTAATTTTAAGAGGTGTTGTTAATATTTGATTTTAGTATTACACTGTTTAAACCTCATATTAGTTCAAATTCCTATAAATAAATAAAAAAACATGGTCCATAGTAGTATAACGCTAACTATTTAACGGTAGTGTATTGTTGAAGAACATTTTCAATGAAAATTTTGAACTATGTAATGTTATTTCTCCCTTTTGCAACCTAAATCTATTTTGTTTTTAGTATAATTTATGGTACTTTTATTCAGATTCAGTGCCTCCTAAATCTATGGATCCCATCTCTTGAGGACTTGGATGAAGCCATCTAAGTTGCTCATGTACATATTGATGGTATCATCAGCAATATACATCATGACATGGATGAAAGATTTCAAAAAACAAATCAAAAATGGCAATTAGCGTGTAACTTTGGGCAGTACACTTTCAGCCTAAAAAAGAGGATGCCATGAATCAGTTTTTCTTATCTCTTTCCACCGTAAGCATTTGGATTCATATATGTTACTTATGTTTTTTTAAAGCAAGTAAATAAAACAAAAAACACCTCATACAACTTATTCAAAGTAACTACTCTTTAAAGAATATATTGAAAGCTGTTCTATCAAGTTTTAAATGTGCCTTTCTTGCAAGCAATGTCAACATTCCTTTCCCTTTACTCAAAACAATGCTGAGCTATATAGATATTCCTTATCAACAAACAAACCCATGCTGCATATACAATACAAAATTGATCAAAACAAAACACAACATCAAAGGAAGGTGAAACGAGGTTGTATACGCGATGGACATCAATTTAGAAATCAACGATGATTCTGCAAATAATGATGAACAAAAGCAACCACTTTTGCGAAACGCAGAGGTTCCAGAGGCGGAGAGGAACTTTGTACAGAAAGCTATAAGTTCAACATTTCAAAGTACTGCGCACTTGGCAAACCTTCTACCTACTGGCACTGTTCTAGCTTTCCAACTTCTGTCACCAATATTTACAAATATTGGCAACTGTGACTCTGTCAGCAAGTCCATGACTTCAGTACTTGTGACTCTCTGTGGTGCTTCATGCTTCCTGCTAAACTTTACTGATAGCTTTAGAGACAGCAAGGGGAATATATGTTATGGTTTTGCAACCTTTAAAGGCTTGTGGGTCATTGATGGATCAACCAAACTTCCACCACAAGTTTCTGAAAAGTATCGCATACGGTTTATTGACTTTATGCATGCATTAATGTCGATTTTGGTATTTGCAGCAATTGCATTATTTGATCAGAATGTGGTGAATTGCTTCTTTCCAGAACCATCAAATGAGATACAGGAAATTCTAACGGCATTGCCTGTAGCAATTGGCGTTTTCTGCAGCATGCTTTTTGTTGCATTTCCTACTGAAAGACATGGAATTGGCTTCCCCCTTTCAACAAGTTAATAGTAGTGATATTTTTTATGTTCATGGTTGTATTGGATTTCAATGACTTATTTGATTAATGAATTGTTATAATGGAAACAAATTATATATATGCAACCTAAGTGCATTATTTTATAAAATCAACTTGTAAATACTTTGCAAACACAAGGCAAGACACCTTACAAAAGACTCATAATGAACCTGATCTTAAGTGCATTATTTTATTTGAACTTCTCGATTTTTGTTGTAACAGATAAAACAGAACATCAGAATCCTGTTAAAGTATAGTGCAATTCATCATTAAACAAAACAATGATAGATAAGATATCCGAGTCCGGACATATAAATAGAAGTCAGAAAATTATGAATCCCAACTAAAATGTTAGTTTTGCACTACAAAAAGAATGTGGTACACTTGAAATTAGGCCAAATTACTGGAACTGACTGAGCACCAAGGTTTCTAGAAAATGAAAAATAAAAGTAACCATCATATGTAATGAGTTTGATCAAAACAAAGGATTTATAAATTACCTGTGTTTACCTTACCCGTCAGGCCAGAACCACGGAAAATCTTTCCCTAACAAGTATTTGCATCTATGAAGTTTCAAAAAGGTCGAGCAAGAACCAATAAGTGTCCCCATAAAAAGAAATTGAGGTGTAAAGTTAGCCTCCAATTGTGTACAGCAAATTACTGTCACAGTTTGAACCTTAATCCTTGGTCATGAAAGTAATGATCATCAGAGAAAGTCCATACATTCATGTATTCCATATTCCCTCATCTGGGTTCACAAACTTCAACTCTCAGCTTCAATAACTTTTTGCTTCAGCTCAGCCAACAATAGCTCGGTGGCTTCTCTCACTTTTTTCCGATCCCAAAGTCCACACATTAATACATTCCATATTCCCTCATCTGGAATGCAGCCATCTAATATCATCTCGTCCAGAATCCGAGCAGCTTTGTGCTGGTCTCCTCTCTTGCAAAAGCATTTGATTAAACAGTCAAAAGTGTCAATCTCAACAGAGATACCCCTAGTACGCATACTAAGATACAATTGGAATGCGCGAGGTGGATCAATATTATTACAAAGACCTTGAACCACCATGTTATGCATTCTGACATGAAAGCTCCAACTTGCTCGATTTGGTGAGATACCGCCAAGAACCATCTCATCAATGAAGTTTGCAGCTTCGTGATAGCTGCTTGTAGCACAGAGGCCACTTATTACTCTCCCGTACATCCCTGCATTTGGTTTCAATCCTTGAAGCCTCATCCTGTCAAGAATCTCCACAGCTTCTCTAAACTTTCCTTCTTTACACAGTCCATAGATTAATGTACTATAAGTGACCATGTTAGGCGAATGACGTCTTCTAACCATCACTTCTAACAACTCCATTGCTTGTGATGAATGGCCGCATTTACACAAACCGTCCATTAAAGAACTATAAGTAAAAACATTTGGCTCAATGCCATTTCTTATCATCTCTTCGAGCAATTCTATAGCTTCATCCAAATTATTAGACTGACACATGCCATGTATCAAACTAGTATAGCTAACAACTGAAGGCGACAAACCTTTCTCTTCCATCTCATCCAGCAATTCCTTTGCCTGATTGATTTTTCCAAGCTTGCACAGCCCATTAATCAATGTACCATATGTATACGAATCAGGCTGGCATCCACGATTAGGCATTTCACGAAATATCCGGAAAGCAGACTCGACAGTTTCCTCATTTTTGCAGAGCGCCTTAATCAAAATATTGAGGGAAACAACACTAGGCGGAATACCCTTTTCTCTCATCTCCTTGTAAAAACCAAGCGCCCTTTTCACATGATTTTCCTCCACGAGAATATCAAATATTGTAAGGTAAGACTTCTGAGTTGGCCTAAGCTGAAAATTTTCCATCTTATGAAAAACCCTGATGGCATCAAGTGGCCTGTGCACACGTCCATAACCTCGGCATATGGTTAAAAATATGTCCTCATCAACCTTGCAGTCTTCTTGCTTCATTCTCTCCAGCATTCCTTCAGCTGGCCTAAACTGATTCACAGAAACTAGCCTATAGATCATTGCACCAAAAGTTTTATGATCATGTCGAAATCCATTGCTATACTCATCTGTTGCAGAATCAAACATAAGGACAGCTTTGTTTATGTCCTTTTCTGCTTTTATTAGCTGCTCAACTAGTGAATTTGTAACTTGCTTTGGCCACTTAAACAAAGTTTTACTGGCCATAATAACCTCAACTGAAAATACTTAAAAACGAAAGATTTTGATAACTTGTAACAATTCTAGTTCCTCAAAACAAGCTTCTCCATGCAATAACAAGCACAAAATTACACAGAATTTGGTGGAACAACCAATGTTAAAGAATTAATCAGTGTGTGTACAATGTTTAGAGTTAGTTTTAGTTTGAAACACGGGTGAAGCATTTCATCAAATAGGTATCGGGCAAAATGAAGCTGCTGAACAATGAAGCCTCAAACTTCGAGAGATGTGTTGATTTAGATTGAATAGAAACCGCTCAGACATGTATGTTTGGAGAGTTTGATGTAAAGAAAGCAAGAACTTCGAAAAACCAATGGAGGAAACTACTTTACCTCGTTTTACGGGATTGGGACATCATCGTCATGTTCCAGATATTTTTTTGTCGTTTTGGTTCGTTTTGTTTTCAAACGTTGCTGGAAAATAAAATAAAAGTCTGTCTCTATAATCCGTTTTTGAATGGACCGCCACCATGTGTGGGCTTAATTTCTTTTAATATATAAGCAATGACCTTGAATGGAAATCTCTTATCCTATCTTTACGATGGAAAAATATTTTATGAAAAATTCAAAATGTGTTTCAAATTTTAGAAATGTATTTTCGGACACACTTTATTTTGAATCCGTTTATTTTAGGTTATTTTAAAAATGATTTTTAAAGTGTAATATATGACCCGTTTGTTTTAGCTTTAAAAAATTAGATTTTTTCTTTGTAGTTTTAAAAATAAATTTTTTTAAAATTGTTTTTCAAAATATTACCAGCTTTTTTATATTCATTTTCTCTAAATTATAAGATTAATTTTGATATTGTACAGCATAAGCATACATTATTGAAAATCAAAATATAGTTGAAATAATAATTTTTTTAAAAAACTCTATCTCAAAAATGATTTTTATGAAAAACTATTTGAAATAGCTTTAAAATAAAGTGATTTTTTTGAAATTTTGATATTCAATTTTTTTTCGATAAAATTATAAAATATTCAAAATAACATTTTAAGAATAACTATTCAAACCAAATTTTTATTTGATACTTTTATGAAAGATTGTAATTTTTTTTTTCACAAAATTATGTCACTATAAAAATCATTTTTAAAAAAAGTCAAAACAAACGGGCCCATATTTTGATGGAAAATTTTTTTAAAATGAAACTTTTCATAAAAGTTTCAAATAAAAATTTGGTTTGAATAGTTATTTTTAAAATATTATTTTATGTATTTCATCATTTTATCGAAACTTATTTTGGATGTCAAAATTTCAAAAAATCACTTAGTTTGAACCTATTTCAAATAATTTTTCATAAAAATCATTTTTGAGATACAACTTTTTGAAAAAATTCTAATTTTGACTATGTTTTGATCTTTAATAATGTATATTTATGTTGTAGTATGTCAAAATTTGTCTTTTAATTTATAAAAAACAAATTCAAAAAAACTTGTAATATTTTGAAAAATGTTTTTGTAGAATCCATTTTCAAAAATACAAAGAAAAAATCCATTTTTTTAAAGTTAAAACAAACTGACATTTAACTCATAAGTTTAATTGATTCAGATATGCATCTCCGAAATATTTTAACACACACCCCATGCATTCCTCTCTGAAAGGCTCACTCTACATGTTTATTGTTCCGGAGGTGCATCTTTGTTTACGGTTTACAAAGATACATATCTATAACTTATCAGAACAGTGCAGGTTATGTTAGTTTTATGTTATTCAGATGAAAATGACGATTTATAAATGTTAAGGACCATGTTATGTGATTAGCATTAAACTATACAATCAATATGTAAAAAATGACATAAAAATTCAGATCGCTAAAAATGACATATAAGTGAAGTTGAAATACATGATAAAGTAGAATGAAATGAAAATAAAATACAATCCATAGTGAATCCAAAGTACAACTATTATATACTATTACATATGTCGGGCTAGAGTGAACAAGAGCCTATGAGACTTAACTCTTCTCCCTCCAGACTGATGCATGGTGTGCAATCCTTCTGTGTCTCAGTCTCTTGTCTCTATCAGCCATAATGCTTGTATGTAAACCAAACAATTAGTACAAGCAACCTATAAGCAAGAAAATTAAAAAATAACAGACTGATAATTTAAGGAGATGCATCTCCGGTTACTGACAACCCAAATGGTCATTTTCCGTAGATTTGAAATCGAGAAGGTTATCGACTTCGATAAAACAACGCTTATGAATCGAAAGACTTCATAGATCAAGAAAAATGAATAAAATCGAAAATGAAGAAGAAATGAGGAGAGAAAAAGTGGTGGTCTCGGACAAACAGTTATCTATCAATAATTTGACTGATAACGCTTTTAGAGGTCTCGTCATCAACCAAAACGACATAATACGAAAATAAAAACCCACAGATAAATAAGAATACCAAAATGTAACTTTGGAAAAATATATTTAAAAACTCTAAAAAGCTAAAATTAGGAAGAAAAAAAAGTTGTAAAACTTCTAAAAAATTAGATTAGAAAAATATATAAATCTAAAAAAACTAGATTAGAACAAAAATCTAAAAAATCTAAAAACTAAATTATAAAGTATGGTTTTATTAAAAATAAGAAGGAGGTGTGCTTGGAAGTTTACAATCATTTGGGCAAAGCCCATCACTATTTCTCATAAAATCAGCATCAAAGAAGAATAATATTAACAAAAAGGGTGGCAAAAACGGATTATGGGCTTGGAGTCGTGTCTAGGGTCGGGTATGGCCCTTGGATTGACCTGGTTTAGACTTAAATGTCACAAACCTAGATAGAAGGAAAGGAAAAAAGACGGCCATGCAAGATAACCTCAGAGGCTCCCCATTTTTCTTCTCTTTCAAACATGACGGCACAGAGGAGAATCCCAGTCACAAACAAAAACAAAATCTCCTCTCTAATTCCCAAAACATTTTCTCAATTCTCTTCTCTCTGATTTCTTCGCTTTTCACGAAAATTTGCATTGTTTCATTTCATTGTTCTAGCATATTGCATTGCATAACATTTTTCATTTTTACAGGGGATCAAGAGATGTGTGTGAAACAAGAGGAATGTTCCAAGGGTTCTAAGCCTAATCAAGAGGTTGCATTTAAGTCAACAAGGGGGTTATCCTCATTAGAGACAAGGCAAAGCCCCTTGGATAGGCAGATAAGTGTATGTGGTTCACCTCCTGTCTAGGAAGCCATTTGAAGATCATCTGAGGATCACAAGACCATGGTCATGGAGGGAGATTATCATTTAATCTCATTAGAGTCCTTGAGGGTCATGGTGAAGTTCATTCAAGTGTTTATACCAAGTGCTAATGGCCACAGTTGAAGTTGGTGCAATTAGGGTTTTCATCTGGCCAACCCTGAGTCAAATATGAAATTGAAGGAGATTAAAACTCAATTCCAAGTCTCTAAGGTCATGGAATGTTGTGTTAAGATACATGGGATATCATTTCAAGATCAATTCATCAAGAATCAAGAGTGTGAGGAGTGACTGAATTAGGGTTCTTAGTGTAAAATCCCCTATTTAGTGCCTAACTTCAAGACCACTTATCTCAAGATACAAGTCTCATCTCAACTTTTGACCAACATGAAACTTTTAGATAATGTTCTTAGCTTTCATTTGAGTACTAGAAGTCCGTGATTGGATTTATAGAACTCAAGTTATGATGCAGACAAGTTACAGGTCCTCAGGTGAATGTGATTTTGGTCAACAAAAGTCAACCAACTTCCAGGCCATTTTTGACCTAGAAGTATGTTTCTCCTCAACTTTTGATAAACATGAGAGTTGTTCCTCATTATCTTAGCTTTCCAAAGAGTACTATAAGTCCTTCATCTGATTTGTAGAACTCAAGTTATGAGGCTTGCAAGTTAGGGGTATTTTGGGAAAGTAAGATTATAGGTCATAAAATTATAGGTCATTTTCACCATTTTGCACACTTCAAATGAAAATCTTTCCAACATAAAACTTGCTTCAAATGGGGTCATTTGCTCAACCAAGCATCAAGGTATCAAAGGTTTGGCCTAGATTGAAGAATCCCTAATTGAATTTCCATGAAAAAGGCTTAAAAGGGGAAAAATCAAAATTAATTCATTTGAAAACATTTTGAACCAACCTTATGCATATTTTGAGTGCAAATGATATTCTAAACACAATGCCATTTTTGGATTTGGAGTTTGAGTTCATTTTGGTGGCCATTTTCAAGATTTCTTCAAGGATAAGCAACACATCAAAAACATGCCATGAGTCCAAATCAAGGAGCCATTCTCAGCCCTTGGATCAGCCTACACCTTATGCAAGTCAGCTATGCCATTTTTACAACTTGGCAAGTACAATTTCGTGCACTATTCATTTGACTTTGAAGTGAAAAAGTGAAAATCAAATTGGGCCAAAGGGAACAGAATTGGGCTTGCTTTTTATCTGAATCCAACATATATATTCCCAGGATCATTTCCAGGCCTTCAGAACTGGATTTGGTGAACAAGAGAGCAAGAACAGATTGAGAGAAAGCAATAGAAAAGTGAAAATCATTTTTTGAGTTCCATTAGGTTTCAATCAAAACTAAACATTGCAAAACATTTCTTGAACAACATATAACGATTCTGGGTAGTTTGCTACAAGCTTTTATCACACATTAAGCTTTGAGGAAGCTTATTTTCTAGGTTTCTTTCTTTCAATATTTCTCTCTGTTCAAGCTATTTTGACATGCCATTTTTATGTCTTTACACTCCTTGAACATCATAGATCATTTCTGGGTTGGTTTTGTGACTGTTTTTGATCTTTTTTATTTTTGCTCATTTTTCATTTTCTTTCGTTTTATGCTATTAAGGCCTGATCAATGAAAATGGTTAGTGGATTCATGATCCACGTAACCTGGACATCACTTTAGGGTTTTGTTTTGTTGATTTTGATGAAGTTTTGGAGGTTCTAGGTTTTTGGCCGTTGAAGCTTTGCCGGAGAAGACGACCGGAATAGTGGTTTCGGCCG